TGGCAACACACTCGCGAGCTCTCTGGCATTTCGAGTGTCTATTGGCGGTTTCAACTAAGATCAGATGAGTCTCCTGCCTGCCCCTGGTACATAAAAAAAAGAACTTTTTTTTACGAAGTCTTCGGGGAGGCTTTAAGAGAGGAGGATGACCTTTAAGTTTGGAAGTCGTATCACCAGCACAACGGGACGTCGATTGAACAGGTGGCCAGTTCGTAAAGGAAATGCCAGTTCAGCGTGCGACTCTCATCCCTGGGACGTAGGTACGATCTCCGGCTGTACACCAACGGACTTTCTTTCTATGTGCGCATTTAACATTCGTTCAAACGGTGAAGGTAAATGACCCAAAAAATTGACATGTGCCAAGCACAGACTAGCAACTTGCCTATAAAGAAAAAAACATCACGAAACAGATACAAAAATCGGAGGCCCAGACCTAAAAGATATCACTACTTTTTTATATTAGTATAGATGGGCGGATAGCATTATCAAAACGGCTGGTTCAAGCTCGATGCAGTTGCCAGAGATAACTGGAGATCCTCGAGGGTTTCACCGGAGGGGTTTCTTGCAAACATATCACAAATTAGTTTTTTTTAATAGGAAATACATTGTACTCTCTTTATAACGAATTTCACGGGACTGAGCATTTCTTTCGTTATAGAGAGGTATTGTTATATGGAGGGAAGAGAAAAAAACAAATTTTACCAATTACAATAATTTATATATAATAGATAGGTGACGAAGGTGCGTTTAGTAACTGAGACCAAAATTTCCTACAGGCAATGTCATCTAAGAATAATGGCTCACGTGTTAATACAATTAACAATAACAAAGGCAAGAAGGCTGTTTATGACCTCAGGTGTCTTTCTTAGAAATTTCGGCACCTCAATAGGTTAGTTTAGTAAGCTGATTATAAAAATAATTACACTTAAGTATATTGTTGATGTTTAAATATGAAAACATTTCTTCGTAATAGAGAATCTTGCGGTATAAAGAATGAATTATTGTATGGGTTTTGTGTAATACCAAATAATCATTTAACTCATTTCTATGTTATAGAGACATTTACGTTATAACGAATGACGTTATAAAGAGTGTACACTGTAGTTTACTTAGCTTTTTTATTATAGATTTAGGAAATAAAGAGTGGATTAGGAAAATAATTAGTCAACCTTGAATGTATAGTAACGCAATCAATAAAAACTTCAGCCTTCACGGTACGGCTACCTCCACTGAAAAACGCGTTACAAATCCTTGACTTTCCAAGGATAGGTACTCCAGACTCGACAAGATCTATTCAAACTTGTCAGACGTTTTAATTACCTAAAAAAGTCATTTATAATCTACGAGTCAGTATTAGTGGCAAGAGAAACTAGAAAGTTTTGTTCCACTATTGGTGCCCAAGATACATGCAAAAAGATAATTTAGAAGGTAGATTAAGGAAACAGCCGGTATTTGGAGGGCTTTTGCCTAAAAATTACTGGTATAGTACTGAATACCATTGATCAGAACATATGAATATTGTTAATACTTTTTAGTAATACTCGACTACGAAGGTAGACAACTTAGATAGGATGGTATTAAAAAGGTGGCAGGAGCGACATGGATGAGGAAAGCAAGACTCTGTGGAAAGAGTTGGGGAGGCCTATGCTGAAAAGCAAGACCATCAAGAAACCGGCGTCTACTAGGAAATAATATGATAATATTTACATTTACTTTAACTAAATTTCGTTAATAACTTTTTTTTTTTTTTAGACAATTCACACCAATTGACCTAGTCCCATGCTAAGCTGGTGAAGCTTGTGTTATGGGTACTAGGCAACTGATATACATACATATTATAGATAGATAGACATATAAATACATATTTAAACACCCAAGACCTAAGCACAACACCAAATGCTCATCACATCGATGTTCGTCTCAGCCGGGGATCGAACCCGGGACCCATGGATTCGCAGTCAGGGGTACTAACCACTAGACCAATGAGTCGTCGACTATTTCAATAAAGTTTTTTTTTATTTATTTAGTAAAACTCGACGTATTATTCAATTATTTTATGACCGGTGACGTCAATAGAGTCCACCCTCATGACAAGGTCACTAGAACCTTCGTGACCAGCAAAATCAATAAATAGCGTTATAATTGGTAATGCTTTAATGGTGATATTTAAGTTGATTGAACGGATTACTTCCGGAAGAAGGACGGTGTGTTGCTGCAACCAAAAGGCCAGTTTTACCACCAGTCCTAGTACTGATTGACCCGAAGGCTCCACTGGATAAGATGGAGAAAATTGTAAGCATGTACGCTAAGTTGGAAATACTTCGTTGGACATCCATTTTAGTAGGTGCGTTGCCGGCCTTTGTGGGAGGAGGACAGTCTCAATACCAGAAAGCTCGGAAGTGCGTTGCCGGCCTTTTAAGAATTGGGAATACTTCGTTGGACACCCATTGTAGTGGGTGAGTTGCCGGATTTTGAGGAAGGAGTATACTCTCAATGGCAAGGCTCGTAATAAGAATTGGTACGCTCTCTTCAAGGACCCTAAGTCGAATTAGTTCGGAAATACTTCAGTGGGCAGCTGGTTTCACATAGTGGTGGAGTGTGGCAAGAACTACCTTAAAAAACGCTCAGTTGATATATCAACACGTTCCTTTGATTTCTTTAGTAGATTTGTCTGTCTTTTGAAGATTAGGGCTAAAGATCATATTAATTTGATAGTAATCTATGTGTCAGCCTACGAAATTTTTAGCCCACCTATTAAAGGTGGGAACTGACCAAAGTTACGAGGTGTAATGTAACACGTTACACAGGGAGCATTCGTGCAGTCAGTACGTCGTGTTACGGGGAAACCAGCTAGCAACGAGCCACTCGTTGCTCGCTTAGAGTGCTCCACCCGGCTGTCGGTTTTTCGGCGAATCCTTTGACTGTTACGCGGTTCAGTCAGTACGCGTCACACGTCGCGAGTGATCATAATTATGATTTTCTATAAATTGTGTCTTTTTTAAGTACTCTTGGTCCAATTAACTTTACGAGTTGTTCAAAATCGATCGTATCGACAAAGTTTTTATACTGTCCAGTAATCATTTGGTTTTTAAAAATTGCTATCAATGACAAACCACCACATACGCCTCTGTTTTTAAATAAGTTTGATGTCCAGTAACGTTTTTTCACACAACAAAACAATAATTAAGTAGAATCAAAGATACCAACGCGTCCTCGCTGTCGGCCATCTCGTGAACACTGGCGGCGAAAACGGAGCACAGAGTTTTGACGAGCATGTTACGCCGATTTTAAAACACAGCGTAACATGCTCGATGCCTAACACGCTCGATGCGAATGCTACATTACACCTCGTAACTTTGGTCAGTTCCCACCTTTAAGCATTAAATAAATAAAAAAAATTTAACTTATCAAACTAACGCAATCCATTGCAGAACTATTTTAAGAAGTCAAACACGTATGATTAAGTCTGAGGTCACTGGATGAGTGTTTTGAACACGTCATTTATTCCCGACAACATCCCACGCTGATGTTGCCAATTGTTCACGCTTTCGGGGTCTTAAATTGTCTTTTCTATTCTAGGTAGTCTATTATTAGTAATTATTCATCTAAATTCTGATTTTTTCTGACTAGTAAAAGTTTTTTTTATTTATTTCTTTCTTTTTTATATTATATTTCAATAAAAATATAGATAAACAAGTACACTTATGAACGTCAAAAAGAACTTAAATTAATTGTAAATTTACATTTACTACCAGTTCGCAAGTCAAGGGCGTAGAGCGTAAGAAGAACTGGCAAGAAACTTTCCGCCACTCTTTTTAATCGCCAAGTATTGTCATACAAATTGTTTGAACTGGAGCAAATCAATCCCAAGGATTAGGATCATTTAAGTATTCGTCAAATTTATAAAACGCTTTATTGATTTAATTTCACTTGAGAGTTTGTTTTAAAAACGAATACAATTTCCATATAAGGAGTGGTTTATCTCTACAAGCCTGGTTGGTCATACGCTCAAATTAGTTCTATTTCACGTATTACACTGGTAAAAGTCACCATTTTACCTACTTAAATAAACTTTTAAAGACACTTGTACCCGACACATGGCATGGGCGCAAAAACCAGGTGCCTATTGTCACACTTTTAGATTGTCATCATGCCTTGATTGAATTTCAACCCCTTTTTATTTAATTAAAATTAGAAGTTGATTCTGTATTTTGATAAATGAACGTTGCAACTCGACTGTCAAGACAAGGGATTTAGTTATCTGGATTTAATTCTCCAGGCTCATTTTTACGTCACGTGACACAAAACGATGACGATGATTTCGCATGCTTGTTAATAATCGCCTAGCCTAATACGGAGGAAATATAGGATTTTAATTTGGAGTGTTTAATTATGATCTAATTAACACTTAAAAAACTGGAACTTGAAGTTTGTTAACGTGTTTACAAGCTTGTTACATCATAAGGATTGGTGCGACGCCATCTTGCTTAGAGAAGCGTTTTGTCATTATGAATGTTTACAATACTAAACATAATTTAAAATAACAATTGATAAAGGTTCTATAGCCACTAATAAATAGTTAAAATGTTGTCTTACAACCTAAAAGTTTGTTAACATGTTTACAAGCATGTTACGTCATACAGACTGGTGCGACGCCATCTTGCCTAGAGAAGCGTTTTATCGGGTTCTCGAATTTATGAATGTTAACTGTTTCCAAACTAAACAGAATGTAAAATATCAATTGTTCAGTAATGAATAGTCTGTTAGGATTTTTTAAATCTTGTCTAATAACCTATTAAGTTCAGTTCCTATAAACTATCAGTGTTGCTAGTTTCTAAACAATAGCTTTGTCATGGAAAATATCAGCTATCCTATTCACGTAATTTGTCCTTGTAGCTTCGCCCTTGACACGAAGTACTAAGTGGGAATGAGTGTAATTGACTCCCTGGCGCCCTCTTGCGTCTAGACTTGACGGTCAAGCGTGTTTTATGTCCGATGTTTTACGATTGGGGCGGATATAGCGAATGCGGCCCCTCCTGCTTTGGTTCAATTAGTTTGTAAATAACGGTGTGAACTGGTCCACCCGGAAAAAGGGGTAGACCGCTGGAGAGGCGGTTTGATGGAATTGAAAGACAGAATTCTTGGATTAGCCAAGGAAATTGAAGGTGTGGACAACTAAGGAAAGTTTTTTCTTATTTTAGTTAAATATATGTTTGTATATTGATAATAGTTTATATATTTTTTTATTACAAAATAGGTTTAATTGGTGAATTTACTATGCTATACAGAATGGCGTGTGTCAGGCACTGGAGGCTGACCACCTGATGCCAAGACCTAAAGAGGTTGCAGTGCCACTGATTTATTTTATTAAATAAATAAAATACAGAATTTCAACAAAAGAAAATAATAGCCCAAAAAGTTCTGCCAAATAAAATACGACAAACACTGTTTTATCTCCTTTATACGCATTAGAATTGCTTTAGAAAAAAAAGGACCGATATATCACCTCCAGTTCTAGAGGTATTTTTAGTAATTAAAATGTCTGGCAATAAAAAAGGTGAAAACTACGTGAATCTATTTCAATACCAACGGGATACTTTCCTAAATTGAAATATACCTGATCTTGACTTTAAATCTCAAACAAACATACACAGGAGATTTAATACACCTTTGATTTAAATACTCAAGTCCTTTTGTTGATGTCTGTTTAAAATAAACAAAAGCATTATCTCATGTATGACCGTATTAGTTAGGATGAGTAAGAAACTCGGGAAGGGGCAATGTTCTTAGATGTCTCACTTATGCAAACGCTTTACTAAAATCATTATTATCAAACGCATTTAGAGGATTTTGTTCCTGGTTAAAGATTTTTTAAAAGGTCTAGAGCAACGGGTTGGAAAACACTTCCCAACCTTTTGTGCCATGCCCCACTTTACCCAATCCAAAATTCTTATGTCCCCCCCATGCAATATACGTAATTTATATATTAATTTTTTTTTGTTCATTTAAGAAATATAAATGATAGGTTTCAGGAAGAATCCATCAAAAAAAAAAAAAAAAAAAAAAAAAAAAAAAAAAAAAATTAAAACAAAAAAAAAAAAAAAAAAAAAGGGAAACCCCCCCAAAGAAGAGGGGGGGGGGGGGGGGGGGGGGGGGGGGGGGGGGGGGGGGGGGAAAAACGGCCCCGGTAAAAAAAAAAAAAAAAAAAAAAAAAAAAAAAAAAAAAAAAAAAAAAAAAAAGGAAAGGGGGGGGGGGGGGGGCCGGGCCCCCGGCCCCCCCCCCCCAAAAAAAAAGGGGGGGGGGGGGGGGAGCCCCCGCCCCCCCCGCACCTTTAAAAAAAATAAAAAAAGGGGGGGGGGGGGGGGGGGGGGGGGGGGGGGGGGGGGGAAGGGGGGGGGGGCCCCCCCAAAAAAAAAAAAAAAAAAAGGGGGGGGGGGGGGGGGGGGGGGGGGGGGGGGGCCGGGGGGGGGGAGGGGGGGGGGGGGGGGGTTTTTTTTAGGAAAAAACCATTTTTTTTTTTAAAAAAAAAAAAAAAAAAAAAAAAAGGGGGGGGGGGGGGAGGGAAAGAATTTTCTTTTTTAGTTTTTCAGGGGGGGCCAACAAAAAAAAAAAAGGGGGGGGGGGGCGCGCCCCCCGGGGGGGGGGGGGAGGGTGGGGGGGGAGGGGGGGGGACCACAAAAAAAGAAGAGAAAAGAGGGGGGGAGGGGGGGGAAAAAAAAAAAAAAAAGGGGGGGGGGGGGGGGGAAAGGGGGGGGGGGGGGTTTTTTAAAGGGGGGGGGGGGGGGGGGGGCCCCGGGGGGGGGGGGGGGGGGGGGGGGGGGGGGGGGGGGGGGGGGGGGAAAAAAAAAAAAATAAAATATTTTTTTTTTGGAATGTTGTCATCTGGTTTCGACTGTCCCCCTTGCGGTGTAGGCCCCACGTTCGGAAACACTGGGCTAGAGGTTTATCTGATGTTAAATAAGCACGCATTGCCGGATATTTTAGAATTGGTATGCTCTTTTCTTGAAGGACCCTAAATCGAGTTGGTTCGGAAATACTTCAGTGGGCAGCTGGTTCCACGTAGTGGTGGTGCGGGGCAAAAACTGCCTTAAAAAAACGCTCAGTTGTGTCATATAGTTGCATTCCTTATAGAATCTTTGAAATATAATCGAAATTTTAAGTACTTATTAACATTTAATCGGTATTTTTCAATTTTGAACTTGTAACGATGGAGCTACTATTTAAAATATTATCAGATACAGAAATCTGAGGCTACCCAGAATGACAATGGTCTTGGAATTTGGTAAATGTTTGTCATACATAGTATAATGTGCCAGACTTCATACACTGATCCCCTTATAGCACTTAATGTATTGAAAAAGGTCACAGAGGAACGAATCTTTTGAAAACATTACCAGATTGATTGATTTTTAAAATAAAAATAAATCAGTGGCCAACCTCTTTGGGAAGATGCAGAGCAGCTGGCCCATAGTGGCTACGTAAAGCCTTTAGACGACTCATTGGTCTAGTGGTTAGTACCCCTGACTGCGAATCCATGGGTCCCGGGTTCGATCCCCGGCTGAGACGAACATCGATGTGATGAGCATTTGGTGTTGTGCTTAGGTCTTGGGTGTTTAAATATTATGTATTAATATGTCTATTTATCTATAATATGTATGTATATCCGTTGCCTAGTACCCATAACACAAGCTTAGCATGGGACTAGGTCAATTGGTGTGAATTGTCTTTAAAAAAAAAAGAAAAAAAGCTGGAAACAGAGAAGAGAGGAAGCTCTTACAGGAGGCCTATGTCCAAGGACAAGCTGTAAAATAGAAATTAACCAATTTGCCGATTTATCATCAGTGTTTTTATACATCACATTTGTATGTACTATTATAAGTATCTTACAGCAATAAAGGCTTTTATTAATAGTATATATAATACATACTATTCAGACAGTGGGAAGTACTAGATTTATCATTATCCAGTACCGGTACTGGATAAATCCCAATTGCAACATTTATATTCAAGTTGAAGTTTTCACGATTTCGGTTGCGACATCAACGGAACTATTGCAAGAACTATATCGAAATGTTACCAGTTAGGATTTTTGGCTAATTTACAGAATACCGATGCTGGGACTCCTCAGGAAGGTTTTCTTTACCGCATAAAGCAATAAAGGCTTTTATCTTATCATACAAATAAGAGGGTTGGACAAAAATATTATTATTTAATACTTTTTAGTACTTTTTGAAGAAATCTTCACCGATAATGGGTAATGTATTTGAATTTGACGTCCTACCCATGTTTCTACTGCTACTCGGATGATGGGGCTCGAAGATACTTCTGTTTTACCTTCAAACAACGCCATTATAGTAGAAAATCGTGATTGCCAAGCGATTAACATCAATTTTCGTTCTCTTCTTCATGTAAATAATTACTATAATTGCCTGCATGTCGAAACGATTTGGCGTAATTATGAATGATTAATGAAAATCTATTTGAAAATATAACTGTGAAGTGTTCTGTATGTTTAAATGTATTCAGTAAATCACAAATACTGCATACACCAATATTTATATATTTTAAAGATATTTTTTTTGATAATACATAAACATTTAGATTATTATTATTAAATAGGATGTTAAACACACGACATTGCTAATAAACATATGACAGAAACACGCGAATTATGTTGTGCGCGCACTTTAACATTTTGGGTCTAAGACATGTCGGTTTCCTCACGATGTTTTCCGTCACCGTTCGAGCGAATGTTAAATGCGCACATGGAAAGTCCATTGTTGCACAGCCGGGGATCGAACCTACGACCTCAGGTATGAGAGACGCACGCTGAAGCCACTAGGCCAACACTGCTCTCAACATCTACTTTTTGTTATTATGACTAATTAAATTATTAATTAATTATTATTATTATTATTAATTTTACTTTTTTTTAAGGTTTTATGGCCTGGTAATGAAACCTTTAAGCCAAGTGTTGTTTTTACACGCTTTATATTAGCTTCACCTGTAAGTATGTAATCGACTCCTTCGGACTCGATTTTGACCCACATTAAACGGACAGATTTAATTCAAACTTTGTACACTTATAAAGAATCAGCGACAATATAATAATTTCATAGGTTTATCTCGAAAAAACAATGATATTTGTTTTTTAAAGTCCACAAAGCAATACGATTAAATTGAGACAACACGTATTTCTACTACTAAAAAGTGGAAAATAAATATAGTTAAAAAAAACATTAAAAACACATCAAACTAAAAGTTAATAATAATTCCAAATTTAGGCTGAAAAAGGTAATGAACAAAAATACTGGTATTATGTTGAAAAAGCGTTAGGCGCTCTGTGCCATATTTTTCGTCTATCGAGCAACCCACGCTTTTGTCACAATAATAGCCAGTATTTTTGTTCATTACCATTTTCAGCCTAAATTTGGAATTATTTAATTTTACTACTGTATACTGATAAACCACCACGACTATCTTGAACGACTATATGCGCACTGACCTTCCCCAACTACGTTTCACGCATGAACACCTATAAACAACGCGCCCGTGTCCTTATGACACACCGTTGTGATAAGAACTGTAAATTGCTAAAGTAACTGTTTTGCGCATAAAATAATTTAATTAAAAGTGCGTACGTACAAAGTACACATGTCAGAAGTGAAACTTCTTTGTCAAACTAATTATTACTAAGGAAAAGCCCCAATAGATGATCATGTATGGCAGTATTATTTGTATATCTATATTCAAATGTCTACACACTTTATACGTGCTAATGATAATATAAATTAATAAAAACATATGGTTTACTGCGACAGAATTGTCTTCTAATATTTAACACCCTTCTTATGTAACTTCCAAACGAATGCAGGAACCAATAGCGTGTATTTTTTCTCGAACTCCCTTTCTCACTCTCTCTCAATCGGTCTCAATCACTCCTTTTTTTTCTTCGATAATAAAAACGCTGAGCCATTGTGAGTTTAACCCGTAAGTGCTGCTGCCTCGATAAATTTTTTGGGCAGGGGGCGGCGGCGGCTGCGACACGGAGCGGGCGATAGTTCCTTCGTTACCCTCTCACGCCGCTTCAAGCCGCTGTTTATCGAGAACCGGTCCATTTGGAATTTTACCCACTCAGATCTCTGCCGCCTTTTCTTCGCCGAAGCCGCTGCCGCCCTCGCTGCCCGCAAAATTCGAGGCATGCGTTCCTAAGAGTTTTACCCTCATGCACCCTAAAGAAGTTTCACTTCAAAAAATCACGTTTAAGTTGAGTGGAATCTCGCAGTGGCCTGAAGGGCCAGCGCCTTTGGGCTGTTTTGGGCTTCTCCCGCGACTAGCGCAAGTTCTGCGAGACTCGCACCTCGGCTTGGGTGGTCAAACGCCTGAAGGGCAGGACGGAAGCTCACTGGAGTGAGTTACTATATACGTATAAACGTGTAGTACTGTATTTAATGAATAGTCATCTTTTAAGTTATGTGATCCTGGTACTTGTGTCTAATTATGTTTTCAAAAATCAGGCTGAAAGGGCTACCAGGAAAAAGAAAGAGAAGTCGCTTTCTTGTGGACTGACGACGTTAAGTTGGGGAAGATTGGCAGGACAATTCTCAAGATAGAGAGAGATAGAGCCAGTTGGAGGAGGCCTATACTCTATAAGAGATCCTTGGAAAAGTCCCGTGTTTAAGTGAATCTTTTAATTAGATGGATGAATGGTTCAAGGAATAAAAGAGGCTTAATTATTAATAAGCAGCAGTGTTGGCCTAGTGGCTTCAGCGTGCGACTCTCATCCTTGAGGTCGTAGATTTATTCCCCGGCTGTGCACCAATGGACTTTCTTTCTATTTGCGCATTTCACATTCGCTCTAACGGTGAAGGAAAACATCGTGAGGAAACCGACATGTCTTAGACCCAAAAAGTCGACGGCGTGTGTCAGGCACAGGAGGCTGATCACCTACTAGCCAATTATATTGAAAAATGATCATGAAAAAGATTCATAAATCTGAGGCCCAGGCCCCAGACCTAAAGATTGTAGCGCCACTGATTTATTTTTATTTTATTAATTAATTAATAAGGACTATAAATCTGTAATAAAGATGTTTTTTGTCCTTATCACTCGTATAACAACGTATATTTAACTAATTAAGGCTTATAGTACAAAAAAAACATAACTAGACACAAGTACCAGGATCACATAGAACAAAACTTACCGTATTCTATCAGTGGAGCGATGCGCCGTCTCCACAGTTACCAGGAACACAGCGTGACTTCTAGAAGAGTGCTCATTCATATCGGTCCTCCCAGATGCTCTGTTCCTGTTCCCAGCTCTCATCAGCCTCACCATTTCATTAGCAGATTTGCAAACTATTGACGTCATCTCCGGTATGTAGAAGCCGTTAAGTTCCTGTAAAAATTCATCATCTAAATGATCATTGATTGTTTTGTGTGCGCATTTAACATTCGCTCGAACCGTGAGGAAATCTTGCCTTAGACCCAAAAGTTGACATGTGTCAGACACAGGAGGCTGATCACTTGCTTATTAAGATTAACAAATGATCATAAAACATACAGAAATCTGAGGCTCAGACATAAAAAGGTTGTAGGACAACTAATTTCGTGTTTTAGTTCCAAATTGCTACTATTACGTGCTGATCTCCGTTTGTTTATACATCCCTAGTATTTGTTATTAAAACCTGACAATTGAAAACGTTTGTAAACTGCACGAACCGGTTTAAAAACACGGTTAACTATTGCATAACACAACAGAAGTATATTTTTTATTTAACTATATACATATATATGTATATGTATATACACAAATGACCAAAACGATAATACACCGAGCGACGAACATTAATAATAATAATCTTCTCACAAAAACTTAGTACATAAGTAACAGTTATATACTATTATAAATAAATAATTGTCTTTCTTCTATTTAGGAAAAAATGCTAGTTTGTGTAAGACTGATGCCTGCTCAAGGTAAGAAAGAGTACCTGTGTTATCATGTCATCAGGCCTCCACCACTTCGGATCGACAGAAGGTCTTAAAAAGTAGAGAATTTTTTTAAAGAGAATAAACAATCATTATTACATAGGCATAGAACAATCCAATATATAAAATTCTCGTGTCACAGTTTTCGTTGCCATACTCCTCCGAAACGGCTTGACCGATTCTCATGAAATTTTGTGTGCATATTGGGTATGTCTGAGAATCGGACAACATCTATTTTTCATCCCCCTTTTTTTTAATTTTTAGATAAATTACTTATTTTTTTTTATGATACAGCAATAAAAAATACATACAACCCCTAATTTTCACCCCTCTACGATCAACCCCTATTTTTCATTATAAATGAAATACATGGCAAAATGACGTTTGCCGGATCAGCTAGTAATTATATAAGACTTGCTTGTAGAGGTGTGTGTGAACAAGTACGACACTCATATAAATAATTAAAAATGTTTACAGTTATTTCTTTACATTCAGTTAGATAAGGCATTTGGGGCTAGTGGTTTGGACCGATGGACTTTCTATGTGCATATTTAACAGTCGCTCGTACCGTGAAGGAAAACATCGTGACTCTACTACTATTAGTAGTAGTAGTATTAGAAGGGGCTGGTGTGATACGCTACACGACGTTTCGCCATCGTTGCCTATTAGAGGTCATCTTGCTGCACTCATTGAGTGAACTTCCGAACAGACCTAGTCAGTCCAACGCGTAAGTGACCTTCCGCGCGGTCTAGTGCTTTCCACCTTCCCTTGGACGACAAAGCCTTCTATGGACTGATGACCACGCCGAGATACGTGTCCGAAGGGATGTCAGGATGCGCGATTGTACTGTTGAGAACAAACTCAGCTCAATACAGAGTTCTTGAAGTATTTCAGCCGCAAACAGAAATATGGGGAATATAAGTGTCTTCACGAGCCTGGTCTTTACTCCATATTGTCGTGACTCTGGCATGTCTCAGATCACAGGGTAGAAGATCATTTACTTGTGTATGAAATGAAAATGATCAATGATGGCCTGCAGCACCACTGGATATTATTCGTTAGACAAGGGAGCCGGAAGACAATGCCCAGCGATGAGCATGAGCTGAGCCAGTAGAGGGTTCAGAGGGAAAGAAAAGAATTATTTCTTAACTGAAAACTTTAACATGATAAATAATTTAAAATAAAATTCTAGAGAAGAGATGGGGGGGGGAGTAGTATTCACAGATTTTTGACAAAGATACTACTATCATCTGTAAAGTCGTGCACTTGAAAGATACAGACCTAAAATAAGAGAAAAAAAACACCAATTGATGAACCTCTTTCAGTTACCACGTTATGTCCAATTAACTTTTATTACATATAAAAATTCGTAAAATGCCGCACGCGTCGCTGAACACATCTAATTGACACACATTTCAAAGGAATTCAATGTTTTGATTGAATTATATATATTTTCTAAATACGCTCAATAATTATATAGCTGTTTATTTCTTTCGTAACTCTATAACTAACATACATTATATAAAACAAAAATTATACAAAAGATATAGTCAAAGAGATGAATGAAACTCAAATGTGTTGCTGAAATATGTAATTTAAGAAACAACATTTAGAGTTTGCTATTTTACTTGAAAACTATATTTGAAAGCTATATTGGAGCAGTGTTGGCCTAGTTAGTGGCTTCAGCGTGCGACTCTCATACCTGAGGTCGTAGGTTCGATCCCCGGCTGTGCACCAATGGACTTTCTTTCTATGTGCGCATTTAACATTTTCTCGAACGGTGAAGGAAAACATCGTGAGGAAACCGACATGTCTTAGACCCAAAAAGTCGACAGCGTGTGTCAGGCACAGGAGGCTGATCACCTACTTGCCTATTAGATTTAAAAATTATCATGAAACAGATTCAGAAATCTGAGGCCAACACCTATAGAGGTTGTAGCACCACTGGTTTATTTTTTTATTTATATGCTATATTGCGCTAAGGTATAGTATAGATTAGATTATAGAGAGTTATAACTGATGGACAATTTTAAAATCTCTCTTTGTTTTCGACATACAGATGAAAATTAACCAACAATTTTTCGTTGTTAAATTTTCAAATACAAACTGTGTTTATAAGGTCAATTAAATTTTAACATCCTATTTTTTGTCTATTCATTGAAGGTCTATTCAAAGATATCTTACAGGTGATTTTAACACAATTTTAACAGCCTAGAAACTACGGTAACAGAATCTTTGTTTAAAAAAAATATATACAAAAGTTTTCGATCCCACTTTTGATTCAGCGACAAGATTATATAATCTTTTAATTAATTACCAAAAATATTGCAACAGTTGTATAATTGTTTGAAGATGAAAGTAATTATGACCTTGAGTTTTACGTAATGTGTAAAATTCCGCGATTCTTAAAAATTCTTTACAAATTTAAAAAGACAATTTTTTCTGTAATGTTATCTAAGTCTGAGAAGTATTTTTAATTGATAAGTGGAGCAGTGTGACTCTTAACTGAAGTCGTAGGTTCCAGTCCCGGCTGTCCACCAACGGACTATCATATCATATCTATATAATGGAAACAAAGTCCATTGGTGCACAGCCGAACCCACGACCGCATGGATGAGAGTCGGACTCAGAAGCCACTAGGCCAACACTGCTGTCAATAAATATCTAATTTTATATTATACTCGAGGTATAAACAAATCTCTATGGTGAGATTATTTAATTTTAATTCTAATAAAAACATCGTATTTTAATAATTTGCAGAAAAACTTAGCGGTCAGTTCGTCTCCCTTCAAAACTGTATTGTATTGTGATAGTAATATTTAATTCTCGTCACTGAATCTTTGTCTCCTTCAGCGGCCCTTTCATCATTGAACACTTACTTAAAAACATAATTTTTCACTAATTTTTTTTCACTAAAATCGAAAACATTTTCTAAGCTTGTCATATGCTGAAACGGAGAGTATTCATGTGCAACAATAGTTTAATTATATAATTGTAAGTGTTATGTGGAATTTATTAAAATCTTTAATATGTCAAATGGGAGAGACTAGCCCACGACACAGGGAAACCTAGTGTGAGGCTACTGAACTTTCTCCTTTAACTATACACCCATTCATAATCTTTTCTGTCTCTTCTCTTCTTTTTTTTATGGAACAGTACGCTGGTACGCTCTTTTCTTGAAGGACCCTAAGTCCAATTGGTCCGGAAATACTTTAATGGGCAGCTTTTTCTTTCCAACGCAGTCCAGTAAAAGCACTCGAAATAAATTTTTGTTTTATTATTAAAGCAATATTGTTAATCGAAAATCCTTTAACCTTGAGTAATAAGCACTTGGTGTACGTGAGATAACATTAATGAGGAAAATATACAAAACTAGCATATAACGAACATGCTATGTCTTATGTATGAACATATATGTCCTAACAAACGCAATGTTTAATGTTTTTATGACACAAGACTCTCCGAGCATATAGCCTGCTTATTGAAAAGAATTTAAATTCTGGAATTGTTTACTTTGTATGACTTTATTGGACTGTTGTGGTCTCGGACAGAATTACCAGCGCTGTGGAACACGTCTGCTCCACAGCATAATGCTGAGTCAGGGCCAGTTACAATTACACACTTAAAATGTAGATTATTTCTTTTCTTTTTTGGTTATTATTATTATTCTGTAATTAAATTTTCAACTAAGAGCAGTGTTGGCCGGTGTTGGAGGTTCGATCCCCGGCTGTGCACCAATGGACTTTCTATGTGCGCATTTAACATTTGCTTGAACGGTGAAGGAAAACATCGTGAGTAAACCGACATGTCTTAGACCCAAAAACAACGACGGCGTGTGTCAGGCACTGGAAGCTGTTTACCTAACTTGCCTATTAAATTTAAAAATAATCATGAAACAGATTCAGAAATCTGAGGCCAAGACCTAAAGAGGTTGTAGCACCACTGATATATATATAATTATTATGTTTATGTTTCGTTAGTTATAAATGTCATGTTACAAGTTTAATTCTATTAAATATATATTAATAATTTTAATAAAAAGATTATACTTCTAACTATATATTATTCTTCTATACACCCTACCCTATCTAATAATATCAAGCCCATACGTGGCGATATCAAAACATAAAACAATTATGTATTTATTAGCAATAATAATATTTTTATCAATCAAGAAACCTTGAATTATTTAAGATATGCCAGATTATTTATCTAATCAACTTATTGCTTCTTGAGTTTTATACGGCTTTTGAAGAATTCACGCTCTTTCTTGAAGGGCTTAGTCGGAATTACTTCAGTCTTCAGTGAACAGCTGTTTTCACATAGCGGCAAAAACTGTCTTCAATAACGCTTAGCTGTGAACGACGGACGTCGAGGTGATAGTTCAAACAATTTGTATGATAATACTTG